ATGGGTTACGAGACAAATTAAATCGTACATCAAAATTATTGTTGTATCCCTTAAACATAAAATTCTTCAGAATAAGGCTAAGTAAATGATTCGAAATTGACCCGATAATCGTGATGGGCCATTATTGAGTAACAAAGACAAAATTCATATATAATCCTTCAAGATCTCCGATTTAAAATTATTACACACGATAAGATACCTACGAAAGTCGAAAATGCCAGAATAAAAGTACAGAACATTTACTTACTCGTAACTGATTTGTAACTTCTATACCTCGTATATCCATGACTGGCAATTACATTAAACCTGTCAATCGAGTGGAACAAGAAAACAATGTCTCAGTCAAGAAACAGATACTATTCACACCGACGTTTAAGAATAAAAACATCCTCTGCCACGAAGGATCAGAGTGTCTCCTTCCAAAGGAAAGATCTGTGTAACATCTAGGTAGGAAACTCTACTAAAATTTCTGATACTCTGGACAACCTTAAATGCAGCAAGCAAACGTTAAACGAAACAATAGTTTTATCGGATTATTTGATATTATAGAGTAATTGTTTCCAAAGGTCCAACAGACAAGTATTTTACGTTTCGAATCGAATCGACAGTTTGAAATACCATCGAATATTGTATAGTGATGATTAAAATACTAATCCACTCTAGTCTGACATTCCCGTTCTTGTGCTATAATATTCAGTGGTGTACGTCGTACTTTGATCGTCAACAAAATAAATACGGTAAAAAGTATAGGGGTAGAACTATAAAATTCTAACTAAATCTGTTAATCACAAGTCAGATTCAATGTTAAATAATATTATACTTTCACAACATTTTCTCGTCTTCTTTATTATCACCTGTTTTGTAAGAAGTGAAAAGGGTACGTTGCACCATCTATGTCAAACTTCCAAAGCTATTAGTACAGACCAAAGACTCAAGATATGTACAGACGTTGCAGCTTATGAGATTTTCTGCCTACGGCTACGGGGATCATGAGATCGCGGTACCATTTTGGTGTCGATCTCGATATTGCCGACAATAAGGATTTCAGGGTTGTTAGTAGAAATCGGATTAACTATGCACTGCACATCTGCCGTGAGTATTTTACGCATAAAACTATATAAAACTCTATAAAACTCTATAAAACTCCATAAAACTTTATAGAGCAATAAATTTCCAAACTTTCTATCGACTCGTTATACAGATTAATGTCGTAAAAGCATACTGCGAAGGTTGGAGATCGAAAATTGAATAAGATCAAATATCGAATGCAGATTAATTTGGAACACTCATTTAAATATGTGCATCTATGCATTTTCTTCCCGCCAACTTATGTACTCGCGATACGAAATATATAGACGTTTTGTTCGTGCTAACGGTAGCTGAAATTCGTAGGTCGTTGGTTAGGCGGAGTGTAATATTGAAATAACAAGATCAAGGAAACATCGAAATCATTAGTGGGAAAGAGCAATGCGTAAACTTTGAATCTAATTAAATCCGTGCAAATGCGTTTTGAAATGCTTATCATTAGTTGATAAGATATCGGAAGTGTTCGATTTGAAAGTCGACTAACAACTAACTTCTCTTCAGTGAGATGCCTTCACAATTGAAGATCAGTTAGCACTGAATATATGTATATAAAATTTTCCGTAAAGGTATGTCATATTGTGGGCGTTTTGTTGATATATGTTGTTCGTTTGCAAAACTTTAGAAGGAATTTAGTGTATGCACAATACATATGGCTTCTCCTTCTACGAACGGTATTCCCTACTTGTTTTCAACCGTGTCTCGTTGACATTTGACGTTTACAATCACGACAGTGTACAGTACCATGTATGTATTTCCTGTCAAGAAGTACTCTGTGACAGACATTACAACAATGAGCAATTTCTAGTAATTATTTAAGGTTGGAATAACATATTTAGTAGAAGGTAGTGGAGAAAGTAATGGAGGGTGTCAATGGGCAACTGCAGACCAAATATCAAAAAATTGCTACAGAATACTCAAAAGTAAGGAAAGAAATGTTTAATATTTATTTATTTATTTCATTGTAGTTGCTTTCCTTTGTAATTTAATATTTTTTAATACGTATCAGAAGATTGATATAAAAAAATTTAATTTTTAGATTCGTGCTCATGCAAGTGTTCTAAAAAAGGCTGTGATCGAAGAACAAACACGTAATGCGGATATACGTGAACAATTAAAAGAAAAAGAAGTTGAACTTCGAAGAGCGGATCAGGAATTAGATAGCTTATCTTTTCGAAATCAACAATTAACCAAACGTATAACTGTATTACAGGAGGAACTTGAGAAAGCGCAAAATAAATCCAAGAAAGGGAAAAATAAATTACCAGACAGTAAGAGCCAAATACCCACACCGCCAAATCATATTTTAGATGAAGAATTTCAGAAGAAAATAGTTGAGAATGCTCAATTATTATCCCAAATCAGTGATAAAGACAGTGAAATTGAAAGTTTAAATGAAAGAATCCAGCAGTTAGAATATAAATTAGATCACTGTGAGAAATCTAAAGTTGAATTAGAATGTCAGTATCAGAGTACAATAGTCAAATTAGAAATAGAAAGAAATGACTTACAAAGGAAGTTAACTGAAAGACAAAAACAAGAAGAAACCGTATCGTGGTCTAGTAATGAAGGTAAACGAGATGGATATGAGTTGGATACTAGAATAGGACTTTCTAATCATCGTCAAATAGAACAATCTCCAGTTTCATCGCCATTGGCTTCACGTAGATCATCAAAATCAATTGGTGAAGGCAGGTCTTCTAAGGCACAAGAAGATAACAATGATTTTGATTTATCTAAATCATGTGACTTGGAAAAAGAAATGAATTACTGGAAAGCACAGTACCATATACTCAAAGTAAAATATGAGGAAATAGAACAAAAAGAACGTTTAAGTGATGAGCCAGTAGAGTGTGAACCTTTGCAACCAACAAAAATAAATAATATGGTAATATATAACATAACACACACACGCACAGTTTTTTATTCCAACTAACCTAATTACATGATTTTTATAACAGATTGGAAGATTAACAGTACCTTTTCCTATACCAGAAGAAATTGAAGCTCGAGAAGCTAAAATCAGAGATTATTTTCTACAAGAGATTGATAAGTTAATAACAGAGAAAAATATTTATCATGTTAAAAATTTAGCTATGGCTGCTAATGTAATTAACTTATTTTATCTTATATGTTTGTGTATGGACTGCATTAGATACCAATTAAATGTTCAATTTAAAAATACTGTTCCAGAGTGAAGTTATGCAGGTTCATTTAGATACAAGTGAATCAAAGAGAAAAAAATGTGAGTCTGCACTTTCAGAAGCATTTTCAAACTGTAATATTTTACAGAAAGATAAAGAAATACAAGAAGGAAATTACAAAGCTCAACTTAGTACTATGAGTGAGCATTTAGCAAACATGAATGAGAAACTTATTTCTCAAACAGAAGAAATACAACAATTGAAGTTTGAACTTGCAAATAAGGTAACTAATTATTGATCAATAGAAATGTTAATATTTTCGACACTTCCTACAGGGTTTATTGATTTTCAGAACAATAAAAAGGGGAAACAGAAGTGATATAGGTTAGATTGCAAATTATTATTAACATTCCATCAGCAACTCAAAGTAATCAGAATTGTTGGTAATTTTAATTTCCTCTAAACACAATATACCTGTAAAACAATAATTATAAGTTTTGATCATATCCTCATTAATATATAAAATCAGTGTTATATCATTTATGAATTTAAAATAAAAATTATTATTAATGTTCATTTTTTGAGCATTTGTAATGGAACAACCCACATTTTACATGAAATCATAAAGTATATGATATCAACATTTACATATATTTACAGTCAATTTATTACAATTTCAACTGAACAATTTGTTTGTCTATATTCTAAATTAAAGCTTCTGTTTGTATTTTACATTATTATAAAATAAACATACATAAGCATACACATAACAATATCTTTAAATATACAATATGTAACAATTGTGATCAAAGTGGAAAACAAACTTTTTTAGCATAAGTGTTATAAGTTTCCACTATTATTTTCCCAACAAAAAAAAAGGAATAATAAATGTGATACAAGTATAATCGTTTTGCTCTAAATTTAAATATACTATACACAATGAAACCATTATACTTTAATAGAAAAACTAGCCCCGCAGCTGCAACCTTGCTCGGCTAAAGGATTATTTGTTATCCTAAATGCAGAGCGTATTAACTCTGTATGATACTCTAATGTTGCTCCTTTAATATACTCTAAAGATGTTGAATCTATAACCACTTTGGCACCATCCTTTTGAAATACCCTGTAACATATTTAATTAATTTCTATAACAAATACAAATACTGACATATCATAATCAACTCTACATAATCTTACTTGTCATCTTCATTTATATTTGTGTCCAAATCAAATTTATATTGGAAACCTGAGCAACCTCCACCTTCTACTGTTACTCTTAAATATGCATTATCACTTGTAATTTCCTTCAAACGTTTAACACAGCTATCAGTAATAATGATGTCATTTTCTGACTTAACTGCTGCTGCAGTTGACATTTCCTTTGATGAAATTGTAGATACATTGTACCATGGAGACCTAATAATAGTTATTTTTTATCATTCTATTAATAATGCACTTTTGTAATTACTTCAGGACATTTAATGATTCTAAATTAAATGTCTAATATAATGCATGCTATGAACAAAAGTAATCAAAATTGATTGTTAATACTAAATTCTTGTTAATGTTCTAAAATATATTTTTTACTAAATTAATTACACTTCGAAAATTAAATAAAACACTTAACCAAAATATTACTTACGTCAATAAACGTGAAAAGTATCGGTTTGCAACGAAATTAGAAGAGAGACCCCAAATTGTGTATTTCAATTTCGCCATATTTCTGACAGGCATAAGATAATCGACAAATTCATAATACATAGATACGAATGAATATTATTAAACACTATTTGCCACTAAACTCATTGAATTATTGGAAACATTAAAAGTCAATTCTTAGTAAGAAGTTTTAGTACCATGCAATGTGATAATTATTCAGAAAAATTGCAGCACTCTAAGTTTCAGCTTCACGCAAAGATTTTGAAGACCAGAATTACTTCCTTTTTTAATGAAAATTCATCGTTGCGGATGAACAATAAAATATATGAAATCCAACAGAAGTGAGAATAGAAAATAGTTTACTGGTACTAATGTATTTGTTTCAAAGAAAACCACGTTTTCTTTGTCGTATCAATATTTCTCGAGCAAATCAAATTAATTGAATGTTCGTTGTAAATTGCACTTTTCTTTGCCAATACACTTAACGCGAACTAGAAACTATACCATTGATCACAAAATATTTGTTCAATAGAGAGAGTATAAATATCTTTAACGAAACTATAAACCAGTCTTCGCTTATAAATAACGTCACAAGGTGGCGCTTATGTCAAAGGTCATTTTTTTTTTTGTAGTATACTTCAGAGTATTGAAAAAAGAGCTTGCGAGCTTCTTAGACTCTTTTACTTCATGGATTAACAGCGAGAACACCGACGAAAGATTCTCTCTAAATTTGTTTAAATTTGTATTAAATTGTAAAACGTATTAATAAATAGTACAAGGCAATTATCTCACGCAAGATATCTAATAATCAAAATTGATATGTTACAATATTACCACAGATGAATTTATTCTTACAATTTAAATATCGCGGTACTTTAACGTAAGTATCCAAGGAAAACTTAAGCACTAATGTGAACCGGTGTTAATGATAGGTAATGCAATTCTGTATGCGCATTGATACTATTTTTCTAATCAAATATTATGAAATCAGGATCTTCCGTGCGTAAAATTAATACACGATAATATATACTGAAAGTATAAGTAAAATGGTCACTATTATGTAAAAGGATAACTTAAGGTAATGTAAAGTTTTGTTGGAAGAAATAATTAGAGTACAATTTTATATTTCAAAATTAGTGTCTAGTGTTATAATGTTATTGGCGAATAAAAATAGTTTAAGGAATAAAAAGAATGTAGTAATGAAAAAATACAATTGCAGTTACATTGGCAATGTACATGATGAATTGTGTCCGTGATGATTTGGTACTGATATTAATATTCTATAGTTAATGAAACATATAGAAATTTATGAATATTTTTATACTTTAATTTATAACATGATAGGAAATGTGGAAATAAATTAGATTTGTTGATAAAACATTGTATGAATTCGAGTAGGGTTATATTGGTTTTTGTCAAATATTTAATAGTAGTGAAATATGTCTTGCTACGTTTAATGAAATATTAGTATTAAAAGTGTGTCATATTCAGTCTATAATAAGTACTATTCCAAAAATAAAATCCTCAAGGAAAGAATAGAGTCATTGACTATAAGTACAAATTTTCAGCATACTTATTTATGTTTATATTTATGTTTATTTTTAAAAACTTAAATAGTAAACATGTAAAAAATATTATGTATTGCCATAACTATAAATGAATAATATTCTAATAATTTATACATTAATGGATAACATAAAATTTGTTATTAAATGATAGTTATTTGTATTATGTTTAGAGATATTATTATAGATTATCTAAAGTAATTAATTTAAGAGAAGTATATGCATATATAGCTTATATTTATTGTAATAACAATTTTCCTTGATGTTTCAGATATACCTTTTTATACATATTTAACTGAATTAAATTTGCGAGGCTAGTTTACAATAAACGCTTTATTTTCCTATAAAATAAGTTAGGACTATTAAAATGGGCGCTGGACAAAGTGCTCGTAGACTTACTATTAATAATGAAGATGATATAGATGTTATTAAAGTATCTAATTCAATTGTACAACGATTGACTCAAAAAGCAAATGAAGCTAATATCAAATCAACGAATGAATTAGAATCGCCTAATTTGGCACAACCCCTTGGTAATAAAAATATACCTTCACCACCACCTGAAAGTCGAAGTACACCAGTGAGTTCTGGATATCCAACATATTATTATCCACAAATGACAATAACTGCTCTTGAAATGCAGCAACAAAAAGAGCAAGAGCTACTGAAGCAAGATCAATACTGGAAAAAACGATTAGAAAACTTAGAGAAAAATCACGTGAAAATTAATCAAATTATAAATGAGGAATATAAAAAGGCTGTGGAAGAGTTATATGTGGATCGTGGTATGTATTATTGTAATGTAAAATATTAAATAAATATTAGACTGATATCATATATCAGTTCTGAAGTATACTATAAAATTATATAATTTAATATTTTACAGATAAAAAGAATGTGAATATTCATAATACTGTACAACCATGTTTGGGAAGTATAGACAAGGTATTGAAGTGTTACCAGGAGTATCCCAAAGAAATTTTGAAGTGTTCTAATTTAGTTGAAGAATTTTCTAATTGCGTAGATGAACGACGTGCAACAGTTATTGCCGCACGTTGTTAATATTTTGCAACATTACGTATAGTAATTGTTTCACATTTTAGTAACTCAAACTGGTGTGAAATTTAATGTTGTTTAATAAAAGAACTTTTAGTTATTGCCAATAAATTAAATTATATGTATTAAAATGTTGAATATTTATTACATTTACATTACTAACAGCATTTAGAGTATTAAAAATAATGTAGTTCGTAAGGCTT